CTGCGTGCATGCGCTCACCGAGAGATTCTCGCGTTATTTGGGCAGTTGCGCTAAAACAACCCGTGGAAAATATTTCTCGCAATTTACGGTATATGGAAACGAGGTATAGACGCTGCTTTAACTATTTCATTACTCGGGACAGGGATAAAAGGGAATTAAATATAGAGGGAAAAGGTGCCCCAAAATCGATTTCGTTTGCACCGTTTTATTTTCGCGCTTCAAAACCTGTCGAAAGTGTGGAATTAAAATAACGTCGCCACTGTAGCCGCGATTCAACTCTTAAACGGCCGTTTTGTCTCACCAAGGTTAGTCGCTAACAGAGCCTATGTAAATATAAGTTCATGAAAAATATTTATGAGCATGAGAGTGCGATAAAGGTGGCTGCCCCGGCTGCGACGTGCTGCAATGATTCGCGAGCGAGCGAGCAAACACCGGCGAATAAACTGTCGTCGGCGGAACTCGATTATTCATCGCTTGTTATATCGCCGAATAGCGAATCGCTCTCTGCATGCCAGTCAGGAGCTGTCAAAAATCGCACGAGCACACGCGGCAGGTGCGCGCGAGCTAGCCGATAATTGAGAGTTTCGAGTTGGGATTTCGGTCTCCAAATTTGCACGCTAGGCTTACGCTCGAGATTACGCTTTATAAATGGGCAAATAAGCTATCTCTCTCTCAATGGCGTTTCTCTCGCGCGCCTCGCAAAATTCACCACTACGCGACCGATTCGCGTGTATCGCACGCGCGCTTTCGGTCCCTCTCGACCGATTCGTAAATAATCGTCGGCGCCAAAATTCACCGATGACTCGGCGCATCTTTCTCTCTCGCGCCGCCCACGATCGGGCGCGTCTCTACTAATCGGCTACGCAAATACACAAAGCCGTTCTGTCTTTCTTGCTCGCTCGCGCGCTCGCTCGCGCCCAAAGCCGACGTAATCCGGAGACCGGCCGGCTGGTATTTTAATTGACAGCCGCGCCGGGCTACTCGAATCCATTTCGCTATCAACTCGAGCACTTTCTACGTCTTCTGCTTCTCCGACCGCGAGAGCGCCGTGAATCAGCGCGCCGGCACGCGGCGGTGATGTCAATCTTTGCTCAGCTGACGCCCGGCGAAATCAGCCTCACCTTCGCGCAGCCGACGGCACGGGGGAGGATGAGATCTTTTCCACGACCTCGCATTCTTTCGCGCTCTCGGCTCCGCCGAGACCGTATCTCGTCGTGAAACGCGAGCGGCGGCGGCGGCCGTAAACGCGATGCACCTCCTCTAACGCAACGCCCACGCCATACCAGAAACGTTATCGCATCGCGTCCCGAATCCGTCCGTTACGAAATCCTGCAGATTTACGACTATCAACTAGCGGCCGTTGGTAGCGGGGTTAACTTTACTAGCGGGTGTTGATATTTTGCCGCGGGAATATCGGCGGCATTGGTATGGATTCTGGTGTGCGATAAACATTCATCGGGCCCCAGTGACTCTCAGTCGACAGAGAACACGATATCGGCCTTCCCACACGCCGCGTAGGAAATTTCTTGGAATCTAACTGGAATCCACGAGCCCGATTTCCTGAAATAATTACGGATTCTAGTCGGGATTCTTCATGTGGATTCTGATTAAAAGTGTAGTGTTTCAAATGTACGATTCCAACACGAGCCGAAACTTTAGTTCTACGTTGAATCTTCAAAAGTCGTCTAAAATCTCGAACATTTTCCGGGACCTGATTGGGATCTATTACGATTTCCTTAAAAAATGATGGATTCTGATCGGGAAATCTATGAAGATTCCGGTTAGAAGTAGAATATTTCATTTAAGGAGACTTAATGTAGAATTTGCAATTTTGAAACTCGGAAAGAGGAAAACAATCAGATTCTATTTAGTCACCTCCAAAATGTTTTCTCAAAAATGTTTCTGTTTTGCGTTACGGTTGAACGAAATATACGAAACATTTTAAGTATTTACACTTTACAATTCCAACGAATTCTATGCTATATACGGGAAAGTCCTGACAAATTTCTATACGGGACGTCGAGCGGGTGAGTTGCAATTCGCTCGATATCCAGTTTTTGCGTTTACACCCATATGGAACGTTTAGTTCGCGGATACGTGTGCGCAAAGTTTGCTGATTGATACGCGAGCGAACGGGCGAGCGAGATGTTTTACTCACGAGAGATGTTAGCGGCATGTGTATTTGAATTAAATTATACAGCAATTAATTAAATTATAGCGATACATATTTCACCGCAGGGAGAGAAATGCGGCGTGTGTTTATTTTAATTAAACTCATTTTAAGTGAAAATAGTAGTACGAGAGCGGGCGGCGGGGATTACTCGCTCGAAAATTCGACAGGGCCGGTTCGCCATTTTTCAGCGCATTATTACTCGCGCAAAGCTTGAGTTACGTTCGTGCGATATTTCCTTCCGCGTTGCCGACGGCATCCATTTCCGTCGGGCGGCGGCGGCGGCCGAGAGAATTCGCCTACAATGTCGTGCGCGATTGCGTCTTCGATTATCGAATAAATAAATTCGCCGGCAGTCGCCCGAAGACGGTCTGTGTATTTTTCCCGGGCGGAACGCGTAATGCTCGCGCTGCACGTATACACACACGCGCACGCCGTATACACGCGCGCGTCGAATGTATCGCGTCTCGCCACCCCGTGACCGGCGAATTCCACGGCGACTGAATCATCGAAATGAAATATCATCGATCGCCATTCGAACGTCAATCTCCCGCGACCATCCATCGGAACGTGTACTTTTATTTGAAAGCCGTGACGCACCGTCGATGAATTATACGCAACGAGCGGTCACGTGAGCGGTCGTTACACGTGCATCCGAAGGAATGCGATAAGACCGTCTTCGTCGAAAATTCAACATTCAGCGACACATTCCACACGATCGACTCGACTTTCAGTTATTTATATCGACTCGTGTCATGAGTCGCGATGCGGCACGGATCGACGGTTCAAAGTCAGCGGGTTAAGAATCCGAAGGATTGTCGATAAGTCCGGAATCGAGAGTTGCGGCCCGAAACGTTAGATTGAAGTGGCAAGAATTATGAGCATCTCATGCGACGTCGAAAAGGCTTCATCCTATGTTTGGGGTAAGAAGGAGAGTCTCTATTGTTATCACAATGGGATATCCACGTCGTCATGCGGGATAACTTTGGACGTTCTAATTGGAATCTACGCTGTACATAAGCGAATCTCGAAAGAGTTCTACGCACTGCCTCGTGTTCCGTTGCTCTCCCACGCGACTACGAAATATCGACGTGCTAAAGTTCCGAGCTACCACAGAGCCGGAGATTAATATCCCACGTTCGTCGTGCGGCGGTGTTTCCAGTTGCGGCCAATTGGTAGCTGGTATTACACAGGCGGGACGACTGGCCGGCCGCTATCGCTGAATCGCTTGCGTAACGACGTTAAATCATTGCGATCGAATGCACGCACGCACAGACGGAAAAAATGCGCGGAGGGCGCAAAGAATAAAACACGTCGCGGAGGGAGAGAGAGAGAGAGAGAGAATAACTCGAGGGGAGACGCGCTGCATAATTTCAGCCGCTCCGCCACGTAGGAGCTCCGCGATAAATCTCGATCTCGTTCTCGGTCGAGGCGGAAATGCAACCCACGTGTATGTATGTACGTACGTCCGTTTGTCTGTTCGTCCGTCGCAGCGGTTTCAGCCGCTTCGACTCCACTCCTGGCGATTTAACGCGCGATATATCGTCCCCACATGTTATTCTGTTACACCGATATCTCTCGGCGAGCTACGCATGTGATGATAAACACAGTGTGCACGTGAAGTCTCTATTGATCGATGCCGAAACGCAAAATTGAGAGGATCACTCCCCCTCTCTTTCGGGTTGTTCGCAAATCCGACCGTTTCGAGGAGATAATTGTCCTCGCTCCCTTTCAAGTCGAATTAGTGAAAGTGATACTGATTGTATCATTAAAACAGTATTGTGCCCATAATCAGTGAGCTTACATGCGTAATGTTTAATGGAAACACTTTCCACTTGGCTCCTTCGTCGTATGCTTGACCGATTTCGAAATTTAGACCGAAGCGAATCAGATTTCACACTCGCGTTGGCCAATCGACCGGAATTTAGTTGCCGATAAGTCGGTGGTTTCTGCCATCTGTCTAGCTTCCTCTCACGTGAGAGGGAGAGAGAGAGAGAGAGAAAGAGAAAAAAGGAGGTCGACGAATAATTAATCTGTTCTGTCAACGACTCCGTTCACGGGCGCACACACGCGACCCTTGTTTATACGTAAATTCACATTCGAGCGGCTCAGGTTGAAAGCCGCGCAAACGAAAATGCGCGGCGCTCTTTTGTGCGAGCGGAAAAGCACGAGAAGCTGCGAAACTGTTTCGCGTTATAAATTTTTCGTAAGTCACTGTTATACGTATAAGCGACGGCGCGCAGTGCTTGCGTAATGCCACACGGGGTCATAACACCCCCACGGCCGCACACGCTGCTTTTTAATTACGCCAACTTTTGAAACGGCGCGATTGTGCCGTGAAAAGCGCGCGATTACACTGATGTTGAATATTTCTGTGCGATATCGTCCACCTTACCTGCTTCCCGGCGAGAAAAATCACCGTTCTCGGGGGCGAGTACTAATTCGCCTGTGATTTACGTAAAAACGAAATAGAATTCATAATAACGTTTATTGCGACTTGTTCGACTTGGTGAGAAGTACAAGTCAGTAAGAGCTGGCTCTGCGACTCGGCGATAAATTCACCGCGTCATTACAAAATTACGAGCGTAATACCCGTAATACCGGCAATGTTCGATTTTCGTCGCGCGTCAGCCGCGCGGTAAAACAAGCGGCGCAAGTTCATCCGCCGCCGAGGCGACGTCATCGGTCGCGTTTCCGCGCGAGATCGCGCGACCGGCAGCCGATCGTTTTAATTAAATCGTCGTCGCGCGGCCGCCTCCGCGGAAACTTCGACGACGAGCGGAGCGAAAAGTGCAAGGACAGATCGTAACGCGATAATAATTTATTCCAGGCACGTTGTTCGGCGAGTCGCGGAGCGATCGGGAGCAGGTGGGCGAAGGAAAAGAATCGAGACGCAGCAACGGCTGGAAGGACGAGAGGGCCGCGGAGAGCGCGCGGATCGCCAGCTGGACAGGTAAGAGAGAGAACCTGTTGAATTAATGTCACCCCTCTTAGCCTCTCAACCCCTCCGTCCGTTGGCCTCTCTCTCTCTCTCTCTCTCCCCCTCTCTCGCGCTTTCTCACTCGCTCTTACTCTATTTCTATTGCGCGTCGCACGCCCATACCGGATACGATCATTATTAATTTCGACGGGCGTAATGACGACGATGCGTAATGAAACGACGATTACCGACCATCGAAAGCCGTCGACGCGTGTTACCGCAGACGGAATGTTACTCGGTGTGTTTCCTGTAATTACCGCTGCAACCCGTCTGCGATCACGCTGCTCGCGCACGTACGACGCGTTTCCGCCGCGCGAGATCAGCGTGCACACGTTGTATGTAATTGAAATTGATCGAGAATTAACGTCGCCGACGGCGACGGCGGCGGTTTCTCGGAACAAAACATCGACGCAACCAGCGGAACCGGAGAAATGATCGGTTGGATGTGTAACTACCTGCCTAAAATCAGTCACGACTCTCTCTCTCTCTCTCTCTCTCTGTTCGACACGAACGAGTTTCGGACAGACTCAAGACGGGTTCTCGTCGTGAGACCGTCGCGGGCGCGAGTTTTTCTCGCGACGATGCGAGGGAAAGAGGAAACACTTTGGAGCGTTCATCGCCGGAGAAGCGAGTCTTTTTCCGCGAAGTAATGCTATAGAGATGCAATCTCGCAAATCGAGAACAATATTTGTTACTCGACTTAGCAGTGAGCAATTGCACGGAGAGGGAGAGAGAGAGAGAGAGAGGGGGAGGGAGAGAGTTCACGAATACGTAATCGCGAAGTTTCCTCGCCCCGAACGACGTGCGCGGCGGAATACTCTACTTCGTTAATTTAATTAGCTATTTTAGGGAAGCCGCGGGGGGCGAAGCCGTCTTCAAAATTTTCAACGCTATCGGCGAACTTTGCGGACGCCGCCGTGGAACTTACCGGCTTCTCTCCGCCTGATAATATAAACGCGGACAATGGTAGCATTTTTCGAAGTCGATAAGGGCGCGCGCGCGAGCGATGTATGGCGAGATTACTCGCCGTCAAAGAAGTATCTCCCTGCGGTGTGCGGCGGCATCGATTGCTTCGTCAGGTCGACGGATTTATATGAGTTTGGGGATCGTTAGCGTGCTGGACTAGATCGGCTTCGTTCGCCGCATAGTAACAGGAACGACCGAAACCCCGTCAGAGCGTCATCGTCCCACTTGGGAAATGAAAAGTGCTAGAATCGAGTGAACATGATTATCTTCCCAGCCTCTCAAATCGAGTAATATTTTCATCAATTTAAGAATATCTCGATGGCTTGTAGTTGATACTTACTCGAACGCCGTAATACCTTAATTCGTGAATGAATTACCGAATGAAAGTTTAAAGTGGTTCTAAATTTAAGGAAGTATTTACTAGAATTGTGTGATACTTCTTTTTCATCCTTTCATCCATCTGTTTCGTACTTATTTTTCAAGAGACCCAGTGGTTTTCGTTTAGAGTTTTCCGTCCAATAAATATCTGAAAATCAATTCTGATATTCTCAATATCATGGATTTAATGCTTATCGCAATTGTTTTACAAGTAAATGTCCACTTATAGAAAGAACATATCATACTGTGTATAGTCAATAATATTTCTGCTTCTAGTAAATATTTGCCGAGGAATATTGGAGTAAACGTTTTATTTGGATCGATTAAATATCACTGGAACGCTAGCACTTTTTTTCCAACGCACACACGCTCACACCGGGCTACTATCATTTCCGCATTGTGTAAAACGTTTCTAATTATCGATAATACTCATGACTATTTGCTTACGTTTGAAGTAATACGGTCCCGCTAATGAACAGTTTTTCATTAATAAATCAGATCGCGTTGCATTATTATTGAAATTATAAGCAGCTCATATAATGAGTGCCGATATCGTTATTAATATGAATCGTCCTCATTAGTAAACTAATTGAAACACGTGTTTACGTAATGCCGGCAGTGTCAGAAGGCAACGAATAACGATTGAACGGAAAAAAAAGTACGTCAATCTTACGGCGCGTTTCGTCATTTTCCGGCGCGAAACGGGCCGCGCTCGAGAGAACACGCGCTTCCTGAAGCTCCTGTATAAAAGTGAGCGGCGCAAGCGACCAGGAAGATGACGCCTTGATCCACCGAGTCGAAGCGTGGAATGGCCAGCGCCGTGCGTTCTCCGTCGCCAGCGAAATTTCGCGCGTAATAACTTTAGAGTAAGTTCGGGTCGGCGACACTCGACGACGACAACTTTCGGAAAATCGTTTAGCCCGAATGGCCGCACTAATGATACTTGACTTAGTGCCAAACGCAATTATGAACAAATAGTTATCCATTCGCAGCCGGCGGCCGCTGACTCTCTCGCGCGCGGAATCATCGCCGTAAATTCTCCAAGTCGAAATGTTCGTCCTATATTATATCTTATAATAGTAGAAGCTAAGGCAGCAGGAAATATTTAATTCGAATGATAGTAAGTGAAACTTGGCCTGAACATGAAGAAATTCTATATAGTTCCGCTATAAATATATTCATATTATTCAAGAATAATTTTCATGAATCGAGAGGAAGAAACGTTGAATAGGAAGAACGATATCTCTAAACTGATACAATTCTTAGTTTGAGAAGATACCGTTCTTTCTCTCCAATATTTCTCCCTCTCAAAATTCACGAGAATTATTCTCGAATAACAAGCCATCTTTAATGTAACTATGTAGGTTTCTTTTCATATAACAGCTAATTTTCCTTTCATATAAGATTATACATTCTCGCTCATACACGAATCTTGAATTGACACAAATTTTTTCTCGTGCAGAATTAAAGGTTCAAAAGAGAAATTAACAAATACAGCACATACTGGATTTTTCGCTAGTCTGTAGGCCGTCTGGACGCAAAATGTCTTTAAGAACGTCAAAGCAGCATCGAAACGTCGACTCGGGAGAAAGAGCAGGAAAACGGCGCTCCTCGCTTCTTCCTCGATGTCGCTTCCTCCGGCGTTCTCGCCGCCCACGACCGCGCATGGTGTTCTCCCGTCGCCCCCGACGTGCCAATCTTCCGACTTTGCGGCGTTAATCCGCGAGCCCGGCGCCAAATTCGGATTTACAACTGCGCGCGATATCTTGCGACGCCGGTGAATTGGCGCGAGATACGAGCGCGCCGACGCGCTCTCGCGCCTCCGCGCTGGCAAAATATTTCGACAAAATATATTCCGCCGCCCCCGAAGAATATTACTGGCGAATTTATCGCGCAGCCCCGCGAATTTTACAGCGCCGTTGGCCCGGAAACGTTTAAGCGAGACGCGTTTCGTAGGGAGGGGGGGGGGGGGGTGACCCGCGTGCTCGCGGCGGAAAATACGCTTATCCAATTACTTTATACGCCCGACCCCTGACATCCCCCCCCCCTCTCTCTCTCTTTTTCTCCGTCTCCCTCCGCTCTTCGTTCCGCAAAGTTGGCTCGAGATTTTTATCGGTACGCACGCGTATCAAGTGCGCTGCGCGTTTCTCCGCATGTGTGTGTGTGTATGTGTGTGTACGCTCGTCTGATTTTTTTTCTTTACATTTTTTTTTACCTTCCTCCCGAGAGAGATCACACTTTCGACCCCGCTTGCGAGAGATAGGCGCTATCTCTTCGAGTGGCCGGAATGCTGATACCTTCGCGGCTTAGCGCGATGGAATGCGAGCTTATCGCCGTACCAACTAACGCACATTCCGCGCCCGGTTATAATACATGTATTCACGATGCGCGCACACATAGAAGCGGCGACGCAAAGAATAGCGGGGAGCGCTCGTCCGCTCGCGCTCACTCTAAAAACACCAAGAAGGCAAATATTTACCGTAACACGTGCGTTCTTCTTTCCTGCCGGCCTCGTTCTGCATTTTGACACAGTCTCTCGCCAGGACTGTGTTTCCAGCCAGTCTTACGCCAGCGTTTGCGAGGACGTGCGCGGAGATACACGAAATGGAGATAAAGAGGGGACGAGTTGCGGAAAAACGTTGTCGACGGCGATACGTTTGTATTAAACGCAACGTTTGATTATCGAGGAACAGGTTGCCGTAACACATTGCCGCTTTTCCACGGGGACGCTCGAGTCGTGTCGCGACTCGACTGTTTACGCTCTCATAATCACGGGAATGTATAATGGCGTTATTGTTACGACGCGCGAGCCGCGTTTGTTATTTGACGCGGCAGTCTCACGCAGAGGCGCGCCGCGCGATTCTTTCGCTGCATTTCAGCGCGCACCGGCCCCGTTCGTTCGTTAAATCTCGTAACTAATTCGAGAGCGGGATTAAAATCGGAAATGTTCGATCGACTTTGAGCGTCGTTTAAGCTTTTATCCCAGTTACACTTTTCCTACCTTTGTTCCGTCCCTTTCTCGCGAGAACCTTACCCCCTCCTCTCGGGGGAATAATCTCTTCCTGTGCGTCATAGCAGAAATTGATTTCAGAATTAACGCGCCCTGGCGGTCACCGGTGACCGGCGCTATATCACTCGTCGGGTTATGCATTAAGATATGCACGTTTTAGACCATTTTTGTTGAACAAGGCAGCATATTAATAGCGTAATTTAATGTACTTGTATATACGAAATTTATCTCTGGCTGCAATAGTTCGATCGGGTTTATATTTTTTCACCTGACTGTACATAAATTCATACCACACGCGCAAGGATATATCAGCACGGAAAAGAAATCAGTATCAATTCAAGACTCACATTATCATATATATAAGCGAGAATATGTAATCTCTTATGTAAAGATAAAACTTGTTCTTACATGAAGAAATTCCACATAGAATTAAGAGGTAAATATATCGGACAGAAAGAACGATATCTCCAAACTAAGAATTGCATGAGTTTTAAAAAAATATTCTCCTCTTTCTATAAATTCGCAATTGGATTTTTGTATAATTATTGGAGATCAGCGCGGTGGAAATCAGTGCAATTAACATGTGTAAACGATAGGAAATCCGCCGTGTCTCGCGGCG